GTATATAAATAACTGTAAGAACAGGCTGGGCACAGTGGCACTTTGGGAGATCAACATAGGAGGATCACTTGAGGCCAAGAGTTCAATACCAGCCTGGAAAACATAGTGAAACCCTGTCTCTACAAAAAATTAAAAGAATTAGCTGGGCGTAGTAGTGCATGTCTATAGTCCCAGCTGCTTGGGAGGCTGAGGCAGGAGGATTGCTTGTATCTACAAGTTTGAAGTTGCAATGAGTTATGATGACACCACTATGCTCTAGCCTGGGTGACAGAGTAAGACCGTCTTAAGAAAAACAGACAAAAAAAAAGAACAGTGTATTGGCAACATCGTGACCTTTAGAATCAGACAAATATTGATCACATTCCTGCTGTGCCACTGACTATCTGGGAGACCTTAGACAACATACTGACTCTTTTTATATAATAATAAAGATTTGGCATTTGTATTAGTATGGGCTAAGTTATGCCGTAGTAAAAAACAATCCCCAAATTATAACAAAAATTTGTTTCAGTAAAGGTTGGCTGGGGGTTTTGCCCCACATTGTCCTCCAAGATAGGCTGGTAGAGCAGCCACCATCTAAAATGTTAACAGTCCCCATGGCAGAGGGAAAGACTAAGTGGCACATCATTACTGGCTCTTGAAAATTCCCCCTGGAGGTGACATGTGATGTTTCCTCACATTTCATGGACTAAAGCAAGCCACACAAACACCCTCAACTCCAAGTGGCTGAGGAAGTGTAGTCCCCCACGTGAAAGCAAAAATTCTGTGACAAACAACTTGTCAAATTTCAGTGGACGCACACTCATTCTAAAGTCCTAAAACACATCCGTTTCTAACAAAACTGACAATATATGGCTGTGAAATAATTTGGCTTTATCAAGATCATTGCAAAATCAACCAACATCTCTCTTGAGACAGTCCCTTTGGATATCTGCCCTTTAGTTTGTCCTGTGTGCGCAGAACTTCTGAAGAAGAAAAGATGCATTCAGGCAATGATGTGAGAAGAGAGTATGTTTAGCTTCAGTCTTAACTACTCACCCCCAACTCCATTTCTCCTTTAAAAGTAAAAATATCTTATTTGCTATTGAGGAATAACATTTTCTTAAAACTTAATTTTTTTCTCCCTCACAAATCAGGATTTGGTGGCAGTTAGAGAGTTCTGACACTAGAATCGCACTGAAAACATTTGGGGTACACTGAGAAGAGAAAGTTTGTCTTTAAAGGCTTTGCCTCGTACTCTTACAGAGAGCCTGGAGAGGATACTGCGAGCGTGCAGGATGGCCTAGGCCCCATTTCCACCTGATGAGAACCAGGTGGTTCCCAGCCACTTCCTCTTCCCCCCCCCTTCCACACCACCCCTGCCCCTACACAGTGATAAGGAGAGCGAGCAGCAACTGCAACACCAGTTAGGGGATCGTGAACAGATGTGGAGTAACAGAGATGTGATTTCACATTATGGTGGCATTTGCCAAAATAAAAATTATTACAACTTTTGCCGTAAATTATTCTATAAATTTTACAAAATATGCAAAAACTGGCATTTCAAGAGCTGAGATAATTTAGATTTATTAAAAAGTTGAGGCCCTTGAGATTCAGCAAAATAGAGTATACTTCTTTATTTATTTAGCTTTTGGTTGTGTGAGTCTTGTTTTTGTTTCTCAGCTCCTAGTTTATAATCCACAGGTCAAAACTGAGCACCACTGGGCTTTGACCATTTAATTCCGCTTTACCCATAGATGTTTCCAGTGTCTCAGGCAGCAGATATAACTTCTCTGAACCCCAAATTTCTTATCAGAGCATGCATCAATCATGCCTCAAAAAGTTGACAGAAAAGCATTTGATATCTAGAAAACACTATAAAATGCTTCTTGGACATAAACTGTTTCCACTGTTTTTATAGAGCACCGCTCCTGTGGGGAGTTTTCTCACTGTTAGATCCCCTCTTCATGTCCTGTTTGTCTGTCTGTCTCTTTCTCTCAGGCACGCGCACACACACACACACACACACACACACACATAGACACACACACAGATGCACACACCCCTTCTCCATTCACCGCCATAGTCACCTCACATACCACCAAGGGTGGGCTGTCTTGGCTCTCCCCCAATAGAACCTTCATCAGAATCCAGCCTCTCGCCTAAGACAGAAAGATTTGCTTCTAAAGCTGCTGCACTTGTCTGTCACATGCAGATAACATGTCTTTTCACGTGAGAGACACCATTGTCACATTTGGGATAAACCAAGTGTATTTGCTAGCCCTTAAGAAAGCATGGCCATGACATGTGTGCTGTGAATAAGATTGTTATGTGTCCCTTTGAAAGGGACACCAGTGCTCCTTCCTTCCGCCCCATCCTCAGAACTGGGAAGTCACATGGAATTAAAGTAGAAATTGTCATCAGAAATCAAGCTCCTTCCTGGGTTGCCCCATCTCCTTCTTCCTGACTCCCTATACCCCTATGCTCTTGAAGTAAAGCTTGAGGACCAATTTTTATTTTAAATCAATCTGAGCTTCTGAGGGCAAAACCTTCGCTGTCCTTCCACACCCGTTGTCCCATGTGGAACTGACTCTGCCCCTGTGTATTTTGGCAGTCACTGTGGTAACGTGGGTGCCGCGCTCACTCCTGCCTCAGCCCGGGCACGAGGCAGTGCTTGGCTCCACGGCTCACGTGAAGCTGTGTCTTCACCCTGCCGGAGGCACCCATGCATTGATCTCTCGGGTACCCTCTAAGTGTGTTACCGTCCAGTTCTCCATATGGAAAATAATAATTTCTCACAACGCCTGAATGACCCCCTCCTACAGTTAGGGGCTTCCTTCCTTCCTGGGTCGGAGTATTCAAGACCACAGCCCTGAAACAGATTTCGCTTCTCTGGGAAGTTTCATTTTTCCCCAGCTATTGCAAACATGATCTTGCTGAACAGAGCTGAATTTTTAAGGCTGAGTTTGTGGTGTGGATTCTGATGGCTTCACGTTAGTTCAAGTCTCTAAGGACCAGTGCCAATAAATGTGAAAGGGACAACAGTAGATTGGCATACTTTTCCATTTCCACTACGATGAAAAAACTGCTGTAAATTAAGTCTAACCTTAAATGTATAATCTGTCCTTGGAAAGAAAAAAAAAAAAGGATATAGCATCTTCAAGCTCTCGGCATCCCTTACAAGAAAAAATTGGTTCTAAGGGTCTCTGATCTTGTGTTTTAGTAAAATAGAACTGCACGGCTGACTGACAGTTCTGATCTAAAGCATTTACGTTTAAGTTTTGATCTCTCTGCTTTTGATTAAAACTAATGAGCTCATTTAATTCAAAATGGGAATCTCTGATAAGAGAAATAAGGTTGATGTGATTGGATTAGAGGGGCAAATTAAACTCTTAGAGCAGAAGTTTGTGCTTATATAGTGTATTAAAAAGCTGTTGGCGTATTATGGCGTGTTAGATGATGAGAAAAATTTCATAGTAATTCATATTTAATCAGAAGAAATGAAAGTACTAAATATAACATGGCTCTCCTTTTCCCTCGAGTGATAAAAAGCTGTACATTTAAAATGACATCAGATCCATGCACTCTAAAACAAAAAAAAAAGAAAACCTTAAGAGAGACACATAAGAAAGGGACACTTGTCAGTGATTTCATCACCCCAGAATAGAAATGCCATAAAAATAGGAAAATATAGTTATATTAAGATAAAAATTCTACAAGAAAAGCCCTAGACCACAAATAGCAAGTTTTCTGTCCTTAAAGTAGTTCTCATTCTTCTTTCATCTGAGCATCAACTTAATATGAAAAACAGAGATTACTTACACCCTCAGAAATACTCATATATGAAATGCATTTCATAATCTAAATTTTAAAAGCTTATTTTCCTATTTGTCTATTTTAATAACTGTCTTCACATATACTTAATTCTTAAAACTCTTTATTACACATATTTTTTTACCTCTACTCCAGAGAAAATGAGTATTAGCAGAGAGCTGCTCAAGAGAAATCCTGTTTTCTGTCAGACATACCTCTTTTTACTTTGAAAGGAGAAAAACTTTAAAATACTATTTACAAAGAATAAAATGAGAGTACTTATCAGGCTTATGAAGCCCAAAGTTAATTTCTTTATAAGAAAAGATTTAAATTTATAAAAGTACATTAGAGGCTTGTTTTTAAAGAAAATAGATTTTACATTGTCTCTGGCATGTTTGCATAAAGGTGTTTTTAGATGAGCAAGACTGCAAACTGCCATTTTAAGTTTTGTAAGTAAAAATATATCCTATTTAGCCTAAAAACCTGTAAAAGGAAATAGTGTCTTATTAAAGAGAAGAAACCATTATTTTCTCACGTCAGAAAGAGAGAAATGAAAAAGAGACTGTCTCGTATTGGAGCTATTAGTGACAGGAATGGAAAGTCAATAGCATGAGTAGTTTTTATTTGTTTTTGCCCGTATATCCCATTTTCATCCCTCATGATCAAGTCAGTTGAGAAGACTCCATGCTTCTTATTCCCCACAGTGAAGAAAACCAGCGCAGGAGGTCAAGGGCACGGCTAGGTAGCCTTGATGGTTTTGTGGTTCCTAGACTTTCCCAGTAGGCAAATGATCTGAGAAGGGATTCTCAGGGAGAACAAACAGCAAGTCTTTCTTCATCAGAAGTGTCTCTGCCTGATCCCATAAATCTGCACGGTCCTTTTCCATGACAGTTCTCTCCGCGCACCAGCCAAGCCTCGAGTGAACTGCAGTTACTTACTCTTAGACCCCACTTAAGGAGCTACTAGAAGTGAGAAGTCCTGAAAAGCTCTTGCTAGAAACTGGATGAGGTTACTTTGGATACATTAATTTTTCTTTTTTATTTTCTGCAAAGTAAACATTTTCTAAATGAGGTAAATTGATTACTACTGCTCTTAGCACCCATCAGTCATTTATTTTTAGTGAACTCAAGGATTGCACCTGAGCAGTAGCTCGTGAGGGGCTGTGTAGAGATCTCAATCATGTGTGTATGTATTTTTGTATTCCTCAGTGGAGTCAACCAGCCCCAGCCTGCTAACCACTGACAACACCCTTGAGCGTTCCTTTTTCATCCGAATGAAATCTACTCTGACCAAACGTGGTGTGCACATCAAATCATCGGGATATAAGGTAAGCTGGGTTCTGGGAGGGGAGACATCTCTGTCTCAGGCCATTCCTGGGTAATGTACACCAGTTTCCCCGGGGCTTTGGGTCCGTATAATTAACACGTTTAATCCTGAGCAGCTCATAGTGTTCCCAGTCACCACGCTAGGAACTGCTTTGCCCCTCTTCTCCTCACTTCAGACGTTGCTGATATGCTAACTGCCCCTGTTGTCATTTCTTAAAACACTGGTTAAGAGTATGCCAAGTGCTTCAGCACCTGCTGGAAATTCACTTCCACAGAGAAGCCAAGCCAAATTCCTATCAGTGCTTACGACGCGTGCTCCTGGACTGTACGTTTCAGAGTTCCACTTCTCACTTCCACCTTCGAATACCTCTTTCTCCTTAGAGAAAGACTGTCCATCTGAATAATATATTGGCCACCGAGATTTGTGCACACAGATAACAAAATCAGGTTGGATATTAGAAACCTTAACTTTGAAATTACAATGATTGAACATTCAGTCACACTTTAGCGTACATAGGATACTCAACATTTATGGAATATATGTTCCTCACAAGCAAAGACCAAGGCTGGGGTTGTAATCTACATTATCATTATTTTAAGGTTAAGGATATAAAAGCCTTCTAATCTCACAAAATTCCAACATTTCAATTACCATTGGAACATAACTTAAGACCTGTGAAATTTATGAAATGCCTTTGGCAACCAGAATCTTATCAGTTTTACAACACACTAAGCAATCCCTCAAACAATATTTATTCTATGTAGGAGGGCAAACAGAAATGGAATGTACCATCAACGTGGCCAGCAGTTGTAACCTTTCCCAGTTTTAGAGTTTGGAACTTCCGATAGTTCCATTCTTTAGGGTGACCATGGCATCATCAGGGATGGTAACAGCTCTTATCAAGCCTTAAAGCCTTATGAGTCATCAGGAGACTAACAGCTATATAAAAGTCAGAGCCAGGCACTTTCTTTGACATTAAGTCTTTGGAAAAAGAAGAAAGGTAAAGAAGCAGGCCCTTCCAAGAACGACCTTTAGCTGAGCCGTCCTATTGTCTGAAAGGCACACGTGGAGCATCCTTAACCTTTACCAGGTTGCAACGCAAAGGAGAGGCACCTGGGCAGTTCTGCCTGCCTAGCTTTACCCTGCAGAGGCTTGTCACAAAGGAATGTGTTGGAGGAAAGAAAACAGACCCTAACCTTAGGACTCCCCTGCCTTATTGCACACCGTGCATTTATTAGTAGTTAATTAACTGTGTAGCATGAGCAAGTTTGGAATTCTATTAGCAGACTACAGGTGTCAACATTATTGTTATTTAAATGCTGGAAAGGCACATTCTTTGCATTCCAGATTTTAGGAGCCATGGGGGCCTTCCTTTCAACTCTTACATGCTTTCTTTACCTTTATTGGGTTTTACTGGTCTATAGGGGGTGTATCCCAGGAAGGAATGAGGGTGGCAGTGGTGAGATACAGTTTGAAAAAGCAGTATTTAGTATAATTCAATATTATTAGATAAGTTAATTTTTTGATAAACAAAAAATTCTTAATTTTAGACTACAAAGTAGAGATCATAAAGCTGCAAAATGTTGGATCTGCAAAAAAGTGGGACATGTGGGGAAAAAATAATATGGAGAAATAGAGTTTTGGTCTAGGCAAGAAACCAAGTAGATTGTGTTCTGTTTATTTTGCCAGACAGGGACTTCAGTAAAGCTGTTTATACTGCATGATCTGAAATTGAACAAGCTAACATCTTAAAATATTCAGCCATTCATTTGACAAAGATTTATTGAGCTTCTATGGAGCCCGTTCTAGATCCTGGAAACCCGGCATTGGAACAATAAAAAAATCGCTGCTTTCGTGGTGCTTATATTCTAGCAAGAGGAGACAGACATAACAAGTACATAAATTAAGAAGGTGATTTCAGAGAGTAATGAAGGCTAAAATAACAAAAGCCAATAGAGGCCAGGCGCGGTGGCTCACACCTGTAATCCTAGCACTCTGGGAGGCCGAGGCGGGTGGATTGCTCAAGGTTGGGAATTGGAAACCAGCCTGAGCGAGACCCTGTCTCTACTAAAAATAGAAAGAAATTAATTGACAACTAAAAATGTATATACAAAAAAAAAAAAAATCAGCCGGGCATGGTGGCACATGCCTGTAGTCCTGCTACTCAGGAAGCCGAGGCAGCAGGATTGCTTGAGTCCAGGAGATTGAGGTTGCTGTGAGCTATGCTGATGCCACGGCACTCACTCTAGTCTGAGCAACAAAGTAAGGCTCTGTCTCAAAAAAAAAAAAAAAAGCCAATAGATAGAAGCACTCCAATGTGCTGGGCATGATATAGATTACATATATTAGCCCTTACAACAATCCTAAAAGGAAAGTACTTTCATGGTTTCTGTTTTACAGATAAAGAGGCTAAGGCTAGAAAGGTTAATAGCATATCTAGCATCACATGCTGAAGGAGCTAGAGAGAGCTTGAACTTGGGGAGTCTAGCTCCACACCACTTACACTTAACCAGTAGGCTCTATTGTGCATATTATTTAGAGAGGTAAGGTGAGGAGGTGGCTGGAGGGAGCAGGAGACCCCTTTAAATAGGAAGGAGCACAAAAGATCTTTCTGAGAAGGCAACATGTCCCCTCTGAGTGGTGAATGAGAAAGGACTATCATGCAAATAAATGGAAGAGAAATGTTTCTGAAGCAACTAGAGTTTAGCATTAAAGACACCTTGCTATAAGAAGGGGCCTTCAAGAAAGAAAATATTAAAAAGGGTAATCTTGAACATCCAGGAGTAGGAAAGATTAGGAAGCTGTTCCAGATCCTATTAAATTGTGTAATGACAAAGTGACCATACTCCTCTGACGTACCCTGCCAGTGAGCCTTTCTCAAGATATCCTGAAAGTCTCCACCTCCTCGGAACTGCTACCTACAGAAGTTCCTCCAGTAAGATGAATCACCCAACAGATCCAGCTCTTCCCCTCCTCCTCCTCCTCTGCAGTGAACTTGCCTCGTTGATTAACCTTGTCTGAAAGTTAGTGGAAGAGCTGATGAGAAACCATGACATGACACAGCTGAATAACATCCCTGTTTATCTGTTCATTCTCAGTAAGTAAATCTAGCAGCTTATAAAACATTCCAATAAAACTGGTAATCACCCCACCACCACATAATAGACACAAATAAAAAGAAACAGTGATGATAATTTCTCTGCACTCCCAATATTCCCCCTAATTTATTACCATTGTATGTATCTTTGTTTCCCCTTAAAGATCCAAAATGCTAAGCTTTTCTCAGTGTGAGTCACTATATTTCTCTCCATCTTTTTCTGTGACCTTGGCACCTGGACCTCTCCAACTTTCTCCATGACTTTTTCTGTTATCATCATTGACAGTAATCATAGTAACAAAAGTGTCATTGACTCTGTGGCAGGCACTGTGCCAAATGCTTTAATACTTTAATCCATGCAACAGGATGATTTTAAAACTTCCTCTATCCCAGGCATTGTCTGCACATTATATTCCATTCTTATGTCCATTTTGCAGGTGGTAAAACTGAGGTCTTAATAGGTGAAATGCTTTGGCCATTTCCTACAGCTCTTAAGTAGCTACTGAGGAACCAGAATTGAGTCTAGGCAGCTGGGCTCCAGAGTTTGTCCTCTTAACCCCTCTGTTTCACTGCTTAAAAAATTAAGTCCAAAGAAGAGCTCAGGGTGAGCTGGACTTCAATATATGAAAAAGAAATTAATTTCAATTTTTAAAAGGAAAACCTTTTCCCTGGTTAAGACCTTCCCTCACATATCCTACTGCACTAGTGCATCAGTGCTTGGTGATTCCAGTGCCCCTGGGGAGTTGAGGAGATTTGCTTTCATTTCCATGACTTTCACCTACTCACATCCCCTATAACCAAGAACTCTAGCCAAAGGAATGCCAATCTGCACCAGCCAATTCAAGTATGGAGTGTAATGTAAGTCCTTGTTGCTTGGTTTGCCACACCCCAGTCCCCAGGAAAGTTGCCCTCTCTCCAATGAAGTTTCCCAAATAGGAGCTGACATTCGGTTGTTTCTGTCCTCATTTGCTTTGAAATCCATGGTAGCACGTTATCTGGACCAGCCACTTTTCATGCCTCAGGGGCTTCCCTGTTGTTTAGGTCTCCTTGTTGGTCACATATCTTAGCATAACACAGCTCTCATTTAAATTACACTGCATCAACATTCTGCCTTCTTGATTAGGTCTATGTCTGGGGGAACTTCTGAGGTATGGCACACGGGGTAAAAGGAGATATGTAATCAGGGAAATTAGAGAAGTGAAGACTAATTGGGTCGCCTCCTTCGCTCCTGTCTTTGGAGGATAGTTTCCTTTGGCATGGGACTTTCAGCTTTCTAATCTATTCTGAAATGCCCACCAGCACGACTGTCATTTCTGGAGTATTTATTCACACGCATTATGATGCCCTAACTCTAATGGCATAGTAGAGCAGCCCAGGCTGGCAAACACAGACGAAAGAAAGCAAAATCTCTGTCATGTTTATATATGCTGGGAATGTCTCTGAACTCTTCACAGTGGTGAAATCTCCAAATGCCAGGAGTTCCTGCTATGATACATACAAACTGATTACTAAGGGATGGTGAGGGAACTCGAGATTCTCAAAAATAAACAGTCCTCCATCTGGGATGATATGGATATGGATTTGCCTGTATAGCTAAGTGTTGAGCTAAAATGACTTCTGAAATCCTATCTAGCCTCCTTATGATATAAAGAATCAGAAAGAGAAAGTAATTGGTAAGTTCACTGTTTTATTAGGATTGCCTATATATACCCTGGCATTAAGAATATCTATATCTAAACCTGAAGCAACAAATCAGCAAGTTAGACAGTGCTAATTAGGTAAAAAAAAAAACATTTTTGCCTTGTTTAAGCACAAACATAGGTGTCTTCAAATTAGAAACTTCTCATATTTGTTTTTAAAACTTCACAGTTGTATCTGTTCTGTGGAGTAAGGCACACTTACTC